TTTCCCTATTGAAAAATGGCTTGGGTGTTACGAATGACTATTCATAACTTCTGACAGGCTAACGGGCTTCATTTCACTCGCAGTGGGAGGTTTTGGCACTCCTTGCCTTGTGGGGCAATAATCAGCCTTCAGTTTCACACAATACCGGCAGAAAAGTTACTGATCTCGACAAGCCTACCCAGTAGTAGTTTGAGAGGCCTGTGCAAAATAGTTACTGTATGAGGACTTAAATTTTAGTCAAGTGTCAAAACAGCAAATTCTCTTAACTCTCCCCAAAACACTGCAGATAACTCTGTATCTACTAATTAAAAAAAAAAAATTATAACTGAGCAAAGTCATCTCAAGAGGTTGATGAAAACAGCCCCAAGTAAGACAGCCATACCAAGGCTAAAAATGTAAATAATTATGCTGGGCAAAAAAGCTGGAGTGCAGGGGAATAAGTGAAGAAGCAGCAAAGGGTGAAAGTAAGAGGACAGCAGAGCAAAAAAATCCACTAAACCAGAAATAAAAACCTCAGAGTGCATCTTGTACTGAAGATGTGTCATCAGAAGAGCAGAGAAGAATACCATAAGCAACCTCTAATTCAGAGCAATTATAGGGCTTAAGCCCTTGCTCAGATAACGTTTTGCTAATTATATGGGAAGCAGAAAATGCAAGCTATGCATTTCTCATTTATAGAGCACAACTCCACTGAAACACATGCCTAAGAATTAGGCAGCAGTCAAAGGGCTTATTACAAGAATTTGTATGATACAATCCCTCCAAACCCTTACAATAAAAGCACATGAGTTATACTAGCCCCCAAAATATTGGGTTATCTGCATCTTTCCTTGTACTAAAGATATTAAAGAGTATGTGACCAGCATTAAGCTGCAATAACATACACAAAACAAGGCAAACAGCAGATTAGGTGTTTTCCTAATATCGTTCCAGTAATTTTGATGAGTTACACATGCCATTGCCCCAGTAATGTTCACTTTGCACGAAGGACCCAGGCCTAAGAATCAGCAGATTATAATCAGCATCTTAAACCCCTGTTTGAAGAAGAATGTCTCACATCTACAGATTTGAAGTTTATCATATTACACCTGTCATATCTTTTTTTTTGTTTAAGGCAGAATGTAGCACTGCAACACTTCCTTCTCTCAACATTTTAATAAAAGGAAGGCATTCAGCTCATGCTGGCTAGTCCTGTTTTTGTTTCAGTGAGAATTACACACATTCTCATGAGCCAAGCTAGCATTTGCATAGTTTGGGACACAACAGTAGGAGAGAAGACTCCAATTCCAAACATGTGATCTGGAAAGGGAACTCCCCACTACGCATTCATGAGTGGCCAGGTTCCCAGGGTAGAAGCATTGCTTACCATGTATCAGATTTAGAAGTTGGTGCTCAGTTCTCCAAAGCTTCAAATCAATGCTGTGTCTGCAGCACAGATAAGATTTTCCCCCCATGCCCCATAGCAATGTAAAGCAAAGGGAAAACCGTAACCCCAACTATGTCTTCTGTGTGCTTGCCAAATTCTTATCACCTTCAAGAGGCATAAGTACGAGACTCCAGCAGAAGACATCCACAGAGCATGACTCAACTTTCCATTGTTTGGAGTAACTGATGTACAGCACACATAAAAGAAATTAACACTGCTTCTGGATGTAGTACAAATGTGCAATGGCACTGTGCTCAAGCCACAAAAATTCCTTAACACTAAGGTGTATTAGCCAACCTGCACAGAACTAATCTGCTTAATTAACTACAGCACGTTTTACCCAAAATTTGAATAACCTGTCAATGAATAATTAAAAGCTAGCTTGCTTCAATCAACCACTGAACACTTTATGTAAAAGATAGAAATGACATGTCTAGTCACATTAAACCCTTAATTAAAGCCCACACCACTTTTACTACACTTGCATTCCATTTTCACTCAAAGTCATATTTTGTATTTCAAACCCATACACGTACAGTCTGTGTACAGCTGACCAGTAGCTTTTGGAGGGCAACAGTTTTTACATGCACTTTTATCACGTGTTCTCCCAGTACAACAGATTTGAACAAGGAAAGTGCACCGAAATACCATCACTTACACTCTTTGATGAACAGGTAGATCAGCGTTAATACCACAGTGTGACCACTAAACAGGAAGTCTCCGCATAGGATATGTGATCCAGTTATGGATAGACCACCACCAGAAATCAGTCGCAGAATCCTCTGAACCTTTGCCTGAGAATCTCCATTCAACTAGAACACCAGAAAAAAGTACCAAAAAAGTTTAAGATACACCATAAGTGACTTGAGTAAACTAGTTGCCCAAATGTGTAGATTCAGGGAGATCGGGAGAAAAGGGACACAAATTGTCTTCATTTTCTTTGGCTTGCTTTCACATATTCTTAAACAAATAAGCATGCGTATCAAAGTTGACAGGTGCTAAAGATCAGCTTGATAACACTAGCATTCTGTCTAAGCTTTCCCAGGCTATTTAAAAGTATGTATTGTATGAGAATGAGATGCAGGATGTACTGGAAAGGTAAACACTAAAAATTTGTAAGGTCAGGTATCTCATGATAGCCATTGACAGAATGGATAAAGCCCATTCAAAACAAGTTCCAACACAGAACAACCTTGCATACTACTTCTGCCATTCTGTTCAGAGCCAAGCAACGTTTCTGTGGGACAAAAACCTCAAACTCACTTACTTTTAGATTTCATTACAAACTCAGTCAGAACTTACTCAGATTTAGAGGATTTTTTTTTTTTTAAACATGCATTAGGATCAGCTTTTGACTTCTCATAGATACTAGGCTAACACTCAGTTTCACCTAGCTGTTTAAAGATTAACTCTGGAAAAAAACAAACAAGATAAAAGGATAACTGAGTTTTTCATCATCAGAAAAATATTCACATGGGATAAAAAAAAAAATCCAGAAGAACTTTCAAGTTTTTCCAGAGTTCAAGTAGCTCATCCTGTTTTAATGCCAGCAAAATGCACTTTCAGCAGAGACATGTTTTCTTTTGCTTACCCCTTCCCATTCCTCAATAAAGCAGGAGCAGGAAAGTGATGGTCCCCCTGTGCTCGGCACTGGTGAGGCCACACCTGGAATACTGTGTCCAGTTTTGGGCCCCTCACTACAAGAAAGACATTGAGGTGCTGGAGCGTGTGCAGAGAAGGGCAACAAAGCTGGTGAAGGGTCTGGAGCACAGGTCTTATGAGGAGCAGCTGAGGGAACTGGGATTGTTTAGCCTGGAGAAGAGCAGGCTGAGGGGAGACCTTATCACTCTCTACAACTACCTGAAGGGAGGCTGTAGTGAGGTGGGTGTTGGTCTCTCCTCCCAAGTAACAAGAGACAGGATGAGAAGAAACGGCCTCAAGCTGTGTCAGGGGAGGTTTACATTGGATTAGGAAAAATTACTTTACTGAAAGAGTGGGCAAGCATTGGAACAGGCTGCCCAGAGAGGTGGTGGAGTCACCATCCCTGGAAATGTTCAAAAAATGGGCAGACGTGGCACTTTGGGACACGGTTTAGTGGGCATGGTGGTGTGAGATTGATGGTTGGACTGATGATCTTAGAGGTCCTTTCCAACCTTAGTGATTCCTAGTTTTACTTTCATTAAAAAAATAATCCAGCCACCAAGCAAGGAAATGTGAAATTACTTATTACTCTATCCTTAACTGGTTTAGTGGTGGACTTGGTAGTGTTAGGTTAATGGTTGGACTGGATGATCTTAAAGGTCTTTTCCAACCTAAACAATTCTATGATTCTATAATACATAGTCTACTACACACAAAGTCATTCCCCAAACTACTAGAACAACACAGTTGAGTCTCTACAATAGTGGTATGTAAATAAAGCTTTTTCAAATAGATACCGGTTCATAAGAAAAGTAGTTCAACCACTATGTTCCTAAGTTGTCCCAATGGGAAAGAACAAGACTGAACAGACATGATTCTGTACCTCAAGAATGATGAGTTCCTACACAAGAAATCTATCCCTCAAGCAAACTGGCAATATTTTTAGGTTTCAAAATGCTTACCTTCTCAGTACACAACCAAACTTTTTCTTACTCTCAAGTGCACTGTTCTTTCAGTGCAGCCAACACAATACACTTTGTTCCAAGGCAATTATATGTCTACAACTTTTTGGTAGTAACCCAAAATGGCAGTAACAGAATTCTTTTGTGTCACCACCTAACTACACTGCCACATTTTTTTTTAAATATTCTTGTAGAAATATTAGCATGTACATGTTTCTATATGTATCGGCTCATCTAAATAGCTGAACTTTGTTTTAGTCACGTTTATGTACATTTTGCAGACTGGAAGCAGGGACAGGTAGCTGACTTCAGGTATTGAGATAGCTCTTGACAAAATAGCGTGAGAAACAGGGCAAAGCATACGGTAACACTGTGGTTTTTTTAAAAGGATACTGCAACACAAGCTTGTGTGTGAGCCTATGAATTACAATATTGACCTTAGGTATCCCACTGTGTAAGAAGAAACACTGCTGCAGTATTAGAGTGATTAGCTTGAGCCTCAGAAGCAAGTTTACTAATTGGTAGCAGCACTATTTCAACATAGGTACTCTCCTTTAAAGCATCTTAACTGCAGCAACAGCTTGAGGCTCTTCCTGTTATCACACAACTTTTGGTTTATCACTATCTATGTTTCTGAAGACATCAACTGAAAGTAATTTGTGTTATTTAATAACACCTGGAACATTATCTTCTATCTGCTCTAATGAGCCGTAAGGACTCAGGCAGAGACTAAGGCAAGAATTAAGGAGCAAAGGTTCTTACCTTTGGTGCACATTGAAAATGCATTCCAGGCACAGGTAAGGTGGTAACGTACATAGTAACACAGCGGTACAGATACAAAGTTCCTATTATAAAAAAGAACCTCCGTCCCACTATTGATCTGAAAGTAAGGGAAGGGGGGAGAAAGATTGAGTGCAAAGTTCACACGCAGGATACACGTCTAACAGTTATGGAGCTCTAGCTTTATTACACAGCTAAATCCCTAGAATTAAAGAGCAGCTCCACCCCCTGCTCTTCACCACACACTTCTCCAAATCAAATACTAAAGAGTCTTTCCTCAGGTTTTAGTCTTGCTGGCTCGTAACAGTACATAACCACCACAAAGCTCCCACCAAAGCTTTCTAAGTGTGCAGTCAGGCATAGTTTTCCTTGACTCAGTGACCTTCTCTTTTTAGTCCCACATCATGACCATGTACTTGACTTAAAAATGTATGGTTTAAGCAAATCAAGACACAGGAAAAAGCTTCTCATCTAGCTAAAGAGGACAGTGGGTTCCTCCTCAAATTTGGATGAGATTTTTTACATCATCATGATTTCCTCTGTTTAAAAAATCGCCACATCAGTAAACACACTTTGAAAAGCCCAATCCCAGAATAAATTTGTCTAGTACAACGTAGGTGTCAGAAATTCAGATTTAAAAAGCATTATTCAATAATCAGGAGAAACCTGTGCTTCTGTATTCAGCATGGACACTGGAACATTTTCTAAAGAAGTCATCCCTTTGCCATTTTCCTGCCAGCCCTATTCTACAATATTGCTACAGATGCTACCATAAGATTTCTTCTACCTGAAGTGAACTAGGGAAACCGACATTCTGAAAACATACAGCAGAGAGAGAAAAAAGTCTACTTACTTGTATCTAAGAAACAACCACTGGAATATCCATAACCCAACTAGTATCATTCCATTTATTTCTGATACAGAAAAAGCCCATTTCACACGATCAATGTAATCAAAAAATTTGTCAGGCAGGGGAGGGCTTAGCTCCTTTGGAGGTACTCTCTCATGGACCACAGTGATCATGACAGTTGTTAGAATCAAGTTGAAGAGAGCATAGACAAAGGCAATGCCTGTTTTCCACCATTCCAGAGGAAATTTGTTCCTAGACTCAGCAGGCATAGCAATCTGGATGTAATCAGGATATTTCTTTGCTGTTTTTCGCAAGCCATTAGACAAGCCCTTTGGTTTGCTAGTGCCATTTTTGTTCTCTTCACTGACTGAGAGAGTAGGTCGTGAGTAGCCATTAGAAGTGTCATTGTTTTGACCCTCCATATGCTCTTCAAGCTTTGCTGTCTCAATGGTATTCATTCCCAAGCTGTATGGCCAAATCGAGTTTCAGTGACCAATTTCTGGGCTCTCTAAAGTCTGTTATTCCTCGAAGTCCAACGTTTTTGTTCCTAGATGGTTTTTGATTTCTGTAGAACTCTAAAAAGTGTCCATTGTGCTGTCACTATTCAGATATTTGTGAAGACAAATCTTTCTTTCCTCTAGAGCTGCATCATCTGCAAAAAAACCAAAACAGATACTGAGAACCTTCAGAACTAGTAATGTGACACTGAACAAATATCTTAAAAATGCTTATTAAGTTTCATCCAAGTTTACTTACATATACAGTCAAAAGGCAAACTAGAGACAGGTGGTTACTATGAAATAATTCAAGCCAGTTCCTACTGAGTAACTTGATAAATCTCTGATCAGTTTAGGAACTAGTAGCAATTTAGGCTTTTTTTTTTTTTTTTTAACAGGAACAAATAGCAAGATTCATTATCACACAGGATTTATTTCAGGCTCTATTTGTCAATTCAGTAAAATCTCATTAGATTAAAAAAATAAGGTAAGTGCATACGTTTTATAACAACATTTTCTACAAAGAGAGAAGAATGCAGAACTCTACATAACTGACATTGCTCTAGTCAAAACAAAGGCCTTTTCCCCCCATCTTTAAAGTTCTGTGAAACCACTTACTTATTGTAGTTGTGATGTACCTATTTTTATTACTCTGTTCAGCTCCCATGGCAAAAGTATTATCATCATATACAAAGTGTTCACTATCTACCAGCAAATTATAATTCTCTCTTTTTTTTATTTGTTCCTCTAAGAGAAGTTCAACACTACCACCACCTCAAGTCCCTGCATGCCAACACAGGCTGCCAGAGTTTGCCATGCTATATGTACAATTAAGTAATCACAATAGAAACTAGAGCTGCCAGTCTCCCTAACAGTACATCACAGAACTTGGCTTAAGAGAAAACAACCTTCTTAGGAAAAACCTGTCCAGTAACTGATCTCTTGATAGCAAGAACAATCTAAAGGCAAAACAGCCTGGGAAGTTGGGTGTTTGTGTTTTGGTCCCTCCCCCTAGCCCCCCCCAAAACAGAGAAGACATTTAACATGGTCAGCTTGTAAATCCCACTGATTTCCTAGCTGCTGCGCTTACTGCTGAAAGAGAGAAGAGGTAAAGGTTCAGATCACAAATATGTGAGATTCATACAAATAATACTGAAATAGTCTAGAAGCATTTCTAAATTAACCTCTCAGCACTATTTCTGAAATCCACTGTCATTGGTTGACCTTTTCTAAATCCCTAATCAACAAGTCTATGAAAACGGAAACAAACACACACACACAACATCCAAGCAACAACTCTCTGTCCCCCCAAAAAAACAACACCCATGAAAACAGGTGGTGATTTCAGATGCTTTTTCTCCCTCTTACTAATCAGACTGTAAACTCTGCTTCACTAAGAGAAGGGGAAGTTCAACCCAGCAGCCAGGCAACAGCCTCTCTGATGCTTCCTACAACTAAAAATATTCTTTTAGATCAGCTGCAAAAGCAACAGCCTTACTTAAAACTAGTAGAATGACATTTCAACTTTCACAAGTCCTTTTCTTAACACACACAAACACATTCTTCTATTCCCTCTGTCTACTAAAGATAAGCATAAAACAGAATACTTAAGTGACAGTATAGAAAAAAATCTGAACCTGTCTAACTGCTTAAGTTTTGGAACACAAGTCTACCCAGAACTCACCTACTAAGTCAAGACCTTTCTTCTCAACATGGTGTTACACATAGCAGCCACTGATGTACAGGTCAGCAATCAAAACTCAATACACTTTATATCCTGTGCAGCTGAAGCATTTTTAGAATTATGCATTTACTGAGGAACAGAGAGCATCAGAGTAAGTAGCAACCTTAGTCATTTCCTTCTCTTCCCCACAAATACCCAACACGACTAGTAACGTAACTAAAAGGGAGGTATTTTTTTCAGGTATTTAATGACATCAAGTAAGCATTAAAGATCAAAGGGCATCTGAACCCCACATGAACAATAACCTAACAACCTAAAAGTAGAGTGGCACTCAGGTTTTTATATTAACTTATTAAGTAAAACAATTATACCTACAACTTCGCAGGAAAAAGTTGTGTTCCTTCCTGGTACTTTCAAATGGATTGCAAGGCATATTGATCTACCATTTCTGATGGCTCATCAAGACTATTTCAAGCAGACTGCACACTGTGGTCAAACCTTTGTTTACATTGGTAGTTCAAGGCGCTATGTATCACCTGACCAGTGATATGCAAGAACATAAAGGCTTTCCGCTATAGTACCTTTTCAACCTGTTTCTCCCATATTCTAAAAGAAGGGAGAAATTCTATTGATGCAGATGACAAAAAACACTCTACTTGGAGATTTCAGTCCCTTCCTGCCCATCTGACTGGCCAGAGAAGCAACAGATACAGAGCTCCAACAGCCTAATCATCCTCTGCTACAGGCTGCAAAAGGAGCTCCCCAGAAGTACACAGGTTTTTCTGCCCACTTCCTGTCCTCAATTCACATATCCACCCAAGTCCCCATGAGGAGTGTGTTCCTTTTAGCTTCCATGTTGTCCTATGTTAATTTAGGTTGAATACCCTATTGCTTCTTTCGTCAAACCTGGAATGCCCCCATATCAAAAATAGGAGATGCCCAAAAACTGCCTAGCAGTAGGCCTTAGACTTCTTCAGTACCCAAGCAGCAATGCTCAGACCTGGTCATCTTTCCAACACCTGGGGTCTGAAAAATCAAACCCAATTGCTCTAAGCTATGGAACATTCACTGGGGGAGTCTCAGACTCACACAAAATTAGCCAAGTAACTCAAAAGGATAAATAAAATTCCTGTAAGGGATAAACCCAGATTTTATGAACAAGTTCTCTTTTTGGAACCAATTCAATTCCTTCTAAAAATAGACACGTACTCTCATCAAGGAGCAGAGCTTCTTAACCAGCAATATTACAGCAGAAATCATAATTGCCACAAGGAACAACATATTTCAAGGAAAATCTTAAAGAGTGAAAAAAATGCAGAAAGAGCAGGAGTTCTAACTGTTTATCCTGAGCTTCTACTTGCTCCCATACAAATAGCTCCCTTAAGTTTTCTGCATCCCCATTTGACTGGCATTCAAAGGACAATAGTTGACTGGGGGTACAGCTTTGAGACAAGTGTAAAAAGCACATCTACATTTGGCTCTTTATGCTAGAAAGTAAGAATAACGAGCAGTTTTATTTAGCTTGTTAGTCATCTAATTTTCACATAGAGGTCATTTTCACATAAAGTTGGCTCACAACTGGCATTTCTCATCCAGTATTTGGAATTTCTGTAACATTTCTAAAAATATTTTAACTTCTATAATCTATCAAGGACTGAATAGTCACAATTTGCACAGGCCTTCCTAATAGGTAGTTTTTAACCTGCTGTTCCAAATATGAACAATGCCAATGGAACAAGAGCATCTAAAACAGTAAGACTGATCTACTCTGACATTAAGGAAAGCTACACACCCATATAACAAGATGGAAAAGGTTTCTAGGTAGTAGCATTTTTAAACTTTATTCACGTTTGTTAACGTTGGCTCAAACATTTGATACGACTGTAATATATTCTTGTATTTGGTAGTTGCAGAAAAAGGGTCTGTAAAAAAGGTACTGCAGAAAAAAAAACCACAATTGGAGATAACGAGAGAAAGTTCGTAAGTATCATATTGTTATCTGTGTCACAAATAGCAGGAAACAACTGTTAGCTAGTTTGCATTTCTTTTTTCAGTCAAATTTTTAGGACTACCTATGGAACCAGAACTAGAAAAGAAGCCAGGTAGCCTCTGCTACCTTGACAGCAGTGAATAAAAACTGGCTTTTGGGCATTTGTCTTTTTATTTTTAAAAGCATTCCAGGTCTGTTTGTTTTTTTAGTATCCCTTCTTCCATGCTGTATGTATGCTTCACAGCATGCAGACCACTGGAGAAAAAACACCAAATCAACCAACCAAAAAAAACCCACCACAAAATGTAAAATACAACTGCTAAACCAGATCTGAGCAAAGTACATTTAAGTATGCAGAAACAGGACTGAGTTTAATAGGTGTTTCCCTACAGTAAAAATATTTTCAGAGCTGTGTTCATTTTTCAGCTTACAATGTTTATTTTTACAATATACAAATACCTGCACAAAGTGATTTGCAGTTTATCTAAAAGTTGCAAGTTTAACTACATTCTCTAGTAGGCTGCCAACACATTTCTTGCTCATGTGATGCTACAGAAGTGCAAGTAAGATAAACCCGTATTACAGAAGTACCATTCATTCAAATGCTCTCAGAACTGAGAATATCATCATACTGTCACTTGCAATAAATTTCAATTTTTATAAAAAGCATTAACTATTTACCCCGTACAAAATTCTTCTTGGTAGTAGACATACAGCAGATACTCCCTCTACCTCTTAAGAGAGGGATTTTGCCATTCTCTCATTTAGGATTACTGATGTAGCAACAGAAGCTGTCTTTTAAGGACTAAATCCATACACTTACCCAGACAGAGGGGAAAAGCTTCAAGGTTACCGGTCATCTATTTGTACAACCCAAGTTTTACCAGTTCTGTGGAATTCTGTTTCTTCACACCTCTTAACAGTAAGGAGGATATTAAGTCTCCTTTCTCCTGGCATTTAGTATTCAGTGTGTTCCACAGCAGCGCCAGGTTTCTGAAACAGTATGTCCCAAAAAGCACAAGAAATATTCATACCCTTATATCTGTAAATATGTAGATTATAAATAAAATACGTAAATTTTTCCTTAAGAGCACTCACCAGGACCCCAGTGACTACCTAAGATTTAAAAAAAAAAAAAAAGCATCTTTGAGTTCTTTTATCATTCTGAACACTGCTGAGTAGGCTTGCCTTAATCATATGAAGGCATCTTCAAACTCTTCAACTGTTTGGTCCCCAGACTCCAGAGGTTCATATTTGGTAACTAAGAGTCTGATGCCCTTTAAAGATACTTCATAATCTGACACCGTGACAGGCTTAGATTTTCCTCCCAGTTATCTACCCTTATCTTTTAAGAACCAAGGTCACAATTTCTGTTAAATGGCAATTATTTGTTATCTTTTAGTTTTCTTTATAGTTAACAGTCTTTCCTAAAACAAAAGTTTTGAGAATGGTCAGGGTTTTATCTGTAGAAT